CAAATTAATGTCTCAGCATTTTAATATGCCGTCTAGGTTGGTTCATAGCTTTTCTTCTAAGGAGCAAGCATCTTTTAATTTCATGGCTGTAGTCACCATTTGCAGTGATTTTGGAGCCCAAAAAATAAAGACTGTCACTGTTTCCATTGTTTACCCATCTACTGGTCATGAAGTGATGGGACCAGATGCCATGATCTTAGTTTTTTGAATGTTGAGTTCTAAGTCAGCTTTTTTACTCTCCTCTTTCACCATATCAATAGGCTGTTTAGTTCCTCTTCATTTTCTGCCATAAGGGTGGTGTCATCTGCATATCTGAGGTTATTGATATTTCTCCTGGCAATCTTGATTCCAGCTTGTGCTTCATCCAGCCCAGTGTTTCTCATGATGTACTCTGCATATAAGTTAAATAAGCAGGATGACAATATACAGCCTTGATGTACTCATTTCCCAATTTGGAACCAGTTCGTTGTTCCATGTTTGGTTCTAACTGTTGCTTCTTGACCCACATACAGATTTCTCAGGAGGCAGGTAAGGTGGTCTGGTATTCCTATCTCTTTAAGAATTTTCCAGTTTGTTTTGATCCACACTGTCAAAGGCCTTAGTAATCAATGAAGCAGAAGTAGGTGTTTTTCTGGAGTTCTCTTGCTTTTTCTATGATCCAGCAGATGTTGGCATCCATTGAGTGTAGTAGAACTATTAACTAATTATTTAATAACAATAATATTAATAAGCAAAAAATAATTTTCATGCTCATAATCAATATTGTAACATACAAAAACACTTTCATCAGAAGTGATTTCATTTGACTTCCATAACAATCCTATGAAAAGAATAATAATTATATTCTCTGTCTCACAGAGAAAGTAAAGCATGTAAAAGTCACACAAGTAGTAAGTGAAAGATGCTAAACACAAATCTTCTAGTACTGAGTTCTTCTAGGATTCCACTTTTTCTAGATTCTTTCTTCTAGGTCATATAGCCCTTTCAGTATTAGATTATAAATGAAGGAATAGAAACCTAAGTATAATACTATACCTTTCTCTTCAATTTTCAAATCCTTTAAAAAAATGTGAATCTTTATTAGAGTCCAAACTAGACTAAATTAAACTGAACAAAACCTTTGTAGCCCCAACTTTAGTTTAAGGGTTGAGAAGAAAAACAATTTGCTATTGCTCTTTTCCATAGCCTGCTGCAGAAATAATTATTCAGAAAGTCTAACTCTCTTATCTTTAGAAATCTCCTTGCCATCTTGACTTTATGCATGCCAGAAGCTCAAACAGACAAAATTAGAGAGACACAATGCATCTGTGTTTGTTAGCATAAGGCTTTCATCATCTTTTCCTGGTCAACAACCCTCTCACTACCATCTCTTCGCCTTGTTTGTTAGCATAAGGCTTTCACCATCCTTTCCTGGGCAACAGCCCTCTCAACTACCATCTCTTCGCCGTGTTTGTTAGCATAAGGCTTTCACCACCTTTTCCGGGGAACAGCCCTCTCACTACCATCTCTTCACCTTTCGGAGCCAAAGCTCCTGCTATTTGTACAGCATCTCTTAGAGACCCAGAAATAACTGCAAAACTTTGAAAGAGCATGAATTATAAACTCAAATCAAACAGAACATTCTTAAAAGCAAGCAGAATCTAGTGAGGTTTTTTTAAACAAAGATATAAAATTATTTTATTGCTCACTACAAAAGTAAACATCTCAGTTATAAAACAGGAAATATTTATCTGGGCAGAGATTACTTAATGTATCTATATGAAATCATCTGGTTCAGAACATGAAAAGAATGCTTTTGAAGACAGTGTCAGAAAATACCCACTTTCTAAAGGTTACCTGCATAACAGCCAAAAGAGTACTAAGAAATGGTTACAAATTGATGAGTTTCCTAATGTCATACAAGTGATTTTTTAAAAATTGTACCCCTAGGTATAAGCCTAAGAGAAATGAAAACATGTACACATAAAAACTTGTACATGAAGGTTCAGAGCAACATTATTCTTAATAGTCAAAAGGTGAAAACAACTAACATGTCCATCAATTGATAGATTTTTTAAATGTGGTAAATCCATACGACAGAGTATTATTTGGCCATAAGGAATGAAATACTTATACATACAATAACATGGATGAACTCTGAAGATATTACGTGGGGTGAAAGAAGTCAGTCACAAAAACCACACGTGGTCATATGAAATGTCCAGAAAGGGGAAACCTATAGAGACACATAGTAGATTAGTGGTTGCTTAGAGCTGGGACAGAGGGGACACAGAAAGATGGAAGGGTGGCAGATGGCTAAGAGAGAAGAAAGTTTCCTCTGGAGGCAATGAAAATGTTCGAAAATTGACTATGGTGATGACTGAACTTACCTGTAAATATATTAAAAATTCCTGAATTACACACTTTTTAATGGGTGAATTGTATGGTATATAAATTATATTTCAATAAAGTTATAAAAATGTTTAAATGTAATCAATCAATAAACCCAAGTAAAGCACTGTTTTAATAGCACCCTGCCTCTGCTCAGAGGCCTCTAAGTTTTGAAGCACTGAAAAATGGGTTTTAAGCTTATATTAGCATCCCACCCTGAGAATGAAAGGAAGTATTCTTCACAGCGTGTGAGCCGCTCCACACAGTGCTGTGACAATGAGAGCATTCCACATGCCGGGGGTATGACCACGGGAGCGCCTACCAGACAGATTCTCCCAGATGTAACAGCTATAAACTCTGGACAAAACCTAAAAAAGCAGCTACTGGAAGGCACAGGAAAGGAAACAAAAGTAGGCCAAGTCTGGAGGGGAGGGGGTCCTGGCAGAAGACAGGGGGAGAGGTAAGCTTCAGGGTTTGCCCTGCCTCTAGCCCAGAGCAGACCACAGCGGGCACAGCCTGGGCAGGGCGGCTGGAACCCCAACAGAAAACCTGCAGCTTTCCCGTCCTCTTCTCACTCGTCACCCGGTGGCCTCGGACCGTCTCTGTCCTAGGCGTCTATGAAGCCCAGCATCTCGGGGATCCTTTCCTTCTTGTCCAACAACTCTGGGTTCTCTTGATCTTCTCTCATCTCCCCTAGACAGCAGCATCCTTGGAGGATGCTGGCTCTGTCCTCAGCTTTGAATCGGTGCACTGTCTCCTCACAGTTCATCTACTCCTGCTGCTTCCGCCGAGACTCCCACCTTCACAAATACAGGCTCCCTTCTCAGTCTGCCTTCCTGATGCTTCCAGCTTCAGACCAGTAACAGCAGGATGAGAGCTAAATTCTAAAATCTGTACAGAAGCCAAAAATCACACAGACTCACCATTTCCCTCGAAATTTTCTTAGGAAGGTAAGAAATTCGACAGTCCTCCATTTCTTGGCCCAGCCTGCACTGTTGAATTCGCTCACAATAAGTGCACTTAAGCTATGGTTCTACTGTATTTAGTTGTCCCACAAGAATCTCCAACTTAACATGTCCTAACTGAACTCCCAACCTGACCTCCACATGCCCGCATCTCACGCCTCTGCCTTTCCTCCCCACATGAAGAGCCGGCGCCAGAGCCGGCCTGGTCGCCTCAGCTAGAAATCTGAGAGCCAACCCTCACTCCTTTCTCCTCCACACCAAAATCCTCATCAGTCTCCATTTCCACTGATTCTCGTGCACCAAATGCTTTAATTCAAGCTCTTGCTCTCTTTTACTCAGATGATAGCCAGTCACCAAATTGGTTTCCCTGACTTCATTTCTTTCTACCATCAATTCCCTATAATGTATCCAGGTCTTTTGTCTTTTACAAATGCAAAAGCAGGAGCGCCTACCAGACAGATTCTCCCAGATGTAACAGCTATAAACTCTGGACAAAACCTAAAAAAGCAGCTACTGGAAGGCACAGGAAAGGAAACAAAAGTAGGCCAAGTCTGGAGGGGAGGGGGTCCTGGCAGAAGACAGGGGGAGAGGTAAGCTTCAGGGTTTGCCCTGCCTCTAGCCCAGAGCAGACCACAGCGGGCACAGCCTGGGCAGGGCGGCTGGAACCCCAACAGAAAACCTGCAGCTTTCCCGTCCTCTTCTCACTCGTCACCCGGTGGCCTCGGACCGTCTCTGTCCTAGGCGTCTATGAAGCCCAGCATCTCGGGGATCCTTTCCTTCTTGTCCAACAACTCTGGGTTCTCTTGATCTTCTCTCATCTCCCCTAGACAGCAGCATCCTTGGAGGATGCTGGCTCTGTCCTCAGCTTTGAATCGGTGCACTGTCTCCTCACAGTTCATCTACTCCTGCTGCTTCCGCCGAGACTCCCACCTTCACAAATACAGGCTCCCTTCTCAGTCTGCCTTCCTGATGCTTCCAGCTTCAGACCAGTAACAGCAGGATGAGAGCTAAATTCTAAAATCTGTACAGAAGCCAAAAATCACACAGACTCACCATTTCCCTCGAAATTTTCTTAGGAAGGTAAGAAATTCGACAGTCCTCCATTTCTTGGCCCAGCCTGCACTGTTGAATTCGCTCACAATAAGTGCACTTAAGCTATGGTTCTACTGTATTTAGTTGTCCCACAAGAATCTCCAACTTAACATGTCCTAACTGAACTCCCAACCTGACCTCCACATGCCCGCATCTCACGCCTCTGCCTTTCCTCCCCACATGAAGAGCCGGCGCCAGAGCCGGCCTGGTCGCCTCAGCTAGAAATCTGAGAGCCAACCCTCACTCCTTTCTCCTCCACACCAAAATCCTCATCAGTCTCCATTTCCACTGATTCTCGTGCACCAAATGCTTTAATTCAAGCTCTTGCTCTCTTTTACTCAGATGATAGCCAGTCACCAAATTGGTTTCCCTGACTTCATTTCTTTCTACCATCAATTCCCTATAATGTATCCAGGTCTTTTGTCTTTTACAAATGCAAAAGCAATCAGATTTCTCCTTGCCCAGGAAGATCCTCCACTAGTAAACCACCGTCCAGAGCAGCAGAAACCACTCTTACAAATCATACTAAAGTTAAGTTTAACTTCACTTTTCTTTAATAATGGCATCACTCACCAACAAAGGAGAGCAGGATCACCAGCAGGACGATGACAGCACAGATGCATGGAATCAGGACCAGCAAGAGGAAACGAAGCGCATTCACAGTCGTCAGCTTCCGCAAGCAGCCATCACCCCTGTTATCATCTTCAGCTCCCAAGACCTAAAGTAGAAGAGGAAAATGAAACACAGTTTTAACACTGCAAAGCAATTCAATAGACAGTAGGACATTTTAGAGGACAGCTGTCCATTTAGAGCAGTAGCATGCCTACATTTTCCTCTGGGTACTACATAGCATGAAATGAGTTTAGTCACCAAATCCTACTAATAAATAAAAAAATAATTGTACAAACCATATTCAGGACAGAGCAAACCATCTATTTCTGAAATGTTTTTCAGGAGTATGTGGACTTATAACCATATTCCATCTTAAATTTGTTTAAACTTATCTGCTAATTTGGTATTATTCCACAGTAGAACTCACCTTGACCTAGAGCTCTAAGCAAATTGCCTAATGCAGTGATAAAATACTGGTGAGTAGTATGGAGGGGCATCATCCAGATTTCATTCTTGTTTGTCTCATTAGTCCTAACCCAAATGTGAACGAGTCTGGATAAAGTAAAATAAAATTTTAACCATTAATAATTCAGCAAGAGTGAATATTACTACATATCAAGCGGCAAGCTGAGTAACGAAAGAGAGCCTGTTCCGCTGGCCACTGACAAGCTCCGCTGTCCATGCCACTCCTTCAGCCAGTCCATCTGAGAGAGAATGATGAAGTACAACGGTGATGACTCAACAAAATGGAATGCTTATCCTCAAACTTGAAACTGTGCTAGCTCAAGCTCTTGTCAGAAACAATGTTTGGAAATTCATGTATTGCAACTGGCTTAGTGCAGTAACTTGTTCAACAGAGATGGACTTAAAAGTGATTTGAGTCACAACGAGCAACACTTCTGATCCCGTTAATTAAAATGTTTCTAAGGGTTCTCTCTCAGACTTCTGACTCTCCATGCCATTTCTGAGCTATAGCCTTGGTGTACCCAACTCTTGAATCTCTTGAGTCCTGAACTTCCTTTCAAGTCAGATCATAAATTTCTCATGCCTAATGCATAGTGTCATCTCTTCTTAGCATGCCCACAACCAATCTAATTTCCTTCTTTATCCCTACCTTGTGGCTCAGCTGGTAAAGAATCCACCTGCAATGTGGGAGACCTGGGTTCGACCCCTGGGTTGGGAAGATCCCCTGGAGAAGCGAAAGGCTGCCCACTCCAGTATTCTGGCCTGGAGAATTCCATGGACTATATAGCCCATGGGATCGCAAAGAGTTGGACATGACTGAGCGACTTTTACTTTCACCTTTTCACTTCCAAGCTAGTTCTTCTCCTGACTTCCATATATGTGCTAAAACAAATTCCACTATTCCTATAATCCCAAGACTCCAGACTTTTCTATGATCTCCCCCATGCCATTTACTACCAGGTTTTTTTGGTTCTTCCCCTGTATGAAGTATCTAATTTTAAAAACCAAATGACCTTTGAGAAAGCCATATCACAATTGAGAAGTCCAAACCGATGATCTTACACTTGATCCTTTCTGGCATAGAACTAATACCTGATAGTTTCCCATGCATAAAAAGGCAGCTCTGATGCAATGCAGGGGATGTGCGGTTCTCTATTTCTGCTCTGTTCCTCCTACATCAAAACCAACTCTTGTTCACTGACACACATCGCAAACAGTGTTCACTAAATACACTGATGTGATGACACTCTGTAATTTTAAGAATTCCCTGTGGGAGACATTACTCGAATGAACATAGGATGTTAGCTTAAGAATGGCTTGATTTCCTAGATTAACACCTTTACTGATCCACTGAACTTTTTGAACCTGGTTTAATTGACCCACCAATGTGAGATCCCTCAGACTTAATATACAATTAAGTGGCACCATTTGGGAGGAGTTCATGGAAAGGATGTGACCCACCACATTGACCCATGAGCTAGACTCAGGCAATCAGAGGCTCACTGATGCACCTCACCCTCACTCCTTGGAACATATGTTACATTCACTGTTCTCACAGCCAAAGCTGTTTTCAAGGATGCAGCCTTGAGTGAGCAGTGTGCTGCTGAGGCCATCCAGATGGTACGCATGACTGAATCCCATTATATGATTCTGGCAGGTGTGGAGATCTAATGACCCTGCAGTCAGCCAAGACAAACCTTGCAAGTAAGTTACCTTGGTTATTAAAACTGCCGCCCAGCAAATACCTCTTTCTTGTCCTCCATATATGGTGGCCAGTTTCAGATTTCACTCAATGTGAATTAACAGACCGACACAATATAATATCTTTATAATACCCTGATTATAACAGTGATGGGTGGTATTCTTTGAGGCTTGGGCATAACACTTACCTGTAAAAAGCCAGTGTGGAACTACAGCTCAGAGACCATAGTAGAACTGACTTTTTTGCTTCATTTACTCAAGAAGTGGTTATTGATACATCTACTAATTATAATAAGCACAGTGAGGAATTTAACAATAATCTAAAACCAACTGTTCCTCCAAAGCTCACAGTCTTATAGGAGAGGTAAGATATGGACATAAATAACTACATTTCGAGATAGCAAATGATCAGCACTGTGAGGCTTATAGGAATTGAAAAGATAGGAATATAATTTCTTGCTAGAAGATTACTTAAGACATTGTGGACTTTTGGACAGCAGCCATTCTGATTCGTGAAATGAGTGTGGAGAAGAGGGAGCCTCTCACACTGCTGGTGGGAATTAAACTAGTACAGCCACTATGGAGAACAGTGCAGAGATTCCTCAAAAACTGGAAATAGAACTGCCATATGACCCAGAAACCCCACTGCTGGGCATACACACCAAGGAAACCAGAACTGAAAGAGACACGTGCATCCCAATGTTCATCACAGCACTGTTTACAATAGCCAGGACATGGAAGCAACCTAGACGCCCATCAGCAGACAAATGGATAAGAAAGCTATGGTACATATACACTATGGAATATTACTCAGCCATTAAAAAGAATACATTTGAATCAGTTCTAATGAGATGGATGAAACTGGAGCCCATTATACAGAGTGAAGTAAGCCAGAAAGAAAAACACCAATACAGTATACTAACGCATGTATATGGAATATAGAAAGATGGTAACGATAACCCTGTATGTGAGACAGCAAAAGAGACACAGATGTATAGGACAGTCTTTTGGACTCTGTGGGAGAGGGAGAGGGCAGGATGGTTTGGGAGAATGACATTGAAACATGTATATTATCATATGTGAAACAGATGGCCAGCCCAGGTTGGATGCATGAGACAGGGTGCTCGAGGCTGGAGCACTGGGAAGACCCAGAGGGATGGGGTGGGGAGGGAGGTGGGAGGGGGTTCAGGATGGGAACACATGTACACCCATGGCGGAGTCATGTCAATGTATGGCAAAACCAATACAATATTGTAAAGTAATTAGCCTATGATTAGAATAAGTAAATTTATATTTTTTAAAAATGTAAGAGCTAAAATACTAGAAAAAGAATGCATACCTTCCAAAACAACAAAGGAGAGAAAAGGGCAATGTTTACTGAGGAAGAAAAAAGAAGATATTGTAGAGAACCGGCACTTGAACTAGCCGTGATGCTCAGAAAAGTATCACTGAGAAGTCCTGTTATAATTTAAAAGAGTGATAAAACACACCCAGAGAGGTAAGGAGTTGTGAACTTTCTTTGGCTTCCACAGCGATGGAAAAGATTTCTTTGTTAAGGAGGTCACAAGAATGTTGTAGGAACGATCTTCTTGGGTGGCAAATATACAGAGGCCTCAGTGCTATCTGGAATCCTATGGCCAAATACATCCCAGTTAGTATTCATAAGTGAAGAATCAGAAGGGAAAATGCCAGCGGCTCATTTTAATATCTTATATAAGTATATCAACAAGTGCTTGATTTCCAGAAACCATATTCATGATTAGTGCAAATGCTTTCTCCAGTGACTAGGAAATTGATTCCTTTTATGAAGGAGAGAAGAGGAAGAAATACTTAGAAGAAATTTAGAACTAAGAAATACTTAGAGGAAACCTCAGCCCTTTCCTCAAGTGTCTAACTTTTCTCTAGCATTCAAAGCCACGTAAGACTATTGCCGCAAATGCTGCATTAGTCAGAGGCCCTTTGAAAAGTGGAAGTGCTCATCCTTCAGTTGTGTCTGACTCTTTGTGATCGCTTGGACTGTAGCCCACCAGGCTCCTCTGTCCACGGGATTCTCCAGGCAAGAATACTGGAGTGGGTGGCCATTCCCTTCTCCAGGGGCTCTTCCCAGCCCAGGGATCAAACCCAGGTCTCCTGCACTGCAGGCAAATTCTTTCCCATCTGAGCCACTGAGGAAGCCATTGGGGTTCCTCTGAATACAATGCAACTCTGAATTTATTGTTGGGTGAATGAGGCCAGATGAGCTAAACCACTAAGACAACTCCTAAGTTTTATTTAGGTGGACTCAGCAACACTCTTTCCGGAAGGTACCCTCTACTAGAATCTACCCTCCACATACTTGAAACTGTAAGCTGAGCATTCCAGCAGTGCAAGCAGGGAGCAGTGCAACTGGCTGACCTGCACATATTTCAAATATGAAGTTCTTATGTTTTACTGATCTTGTCGGTAAAGACGCATTTCTTATGTCTTAAAGACTGCATTTATTTTAAAAGGTGTCATGCTAGCTTACATATGCTGAATACAATCAACCTAACTAGAATAGCTCCTTGAGTCTCTGGCTTCATTGGGATATCTTCTCATTCATCTCTTTTACATTTTTAATTCTATTATGCTTGCCTCCTGGCATACTGATTAAACTATTTTAACAGCCATTCTGTCTCTTTTTTAAAGCATATAGTTTGCCTATAATGTGTTAGTTTCATGTGTATAACACAATGACTCAGTTAATTGTGTGTGCATATACACACATACATATTCTTTTTCAGATTCTTTTCCCTTATCATTATTACTAAATATTGAGTATAGATATCTGTGTTATCTATAAAATAGATAACAAACAAGGCCCTAGTTGTTGCTTATCTATTTCATATATAGCAGTTTGGCTGTGTTAATCCCAAACTCCTAATTTATCCCTACCCACCCCTTTCCCCTTTGGTAACCATA